GGGGACAGCATTTGAGTTGATTGCCATTTCGTTGAAATTCAGCACTGATGAATTTGGAAGTTTAGCAATCTGGTGGGGAACCCAGTGAATTATTGTCTGTCTAAAAGTTTAGGTTGCATCTTATATAAGCTACTGTAATTTACCTTTTTGTAGTCTACCACCACCATTTAATATGAATGGCTTTATTGAACAGTGAAGAAGTAAAAGTACAAGTTACATCATTCTGTGTATATACACTGTTAGTAGTGCCAGGCTATTGACACAGGATCTGCATTTCCCAGGATACGTTTGATTCTATTTTATAATATCTGTGTCCTATTGTTATGGCAACATCCCAAATTCAGGCATCTAAAATGTATTATCTGGACTGCCTCTTTAATCCAGACACAATCCCCCGAATCTTTGATCAGATCATGTGTTGCCATTTTGGGTGTAACAGTATGGTCACACTATCTAATTCCTCTGACATCCCGAGTAGCTGAAGTAGAAGTCCCTGTACTGGGCTGGTGGTCCTACGTACGTTTCCACACACATTTTTGTCAAAGCATGTGAATTCTGACTTGAATTATTTACTTCATTCTAAGTCCAAATTGGCAATGCCAGTCAAATAAATCGGGCAAAGTATGATGGATGATGAAATGGATAAATGAACAGTAAGGGCTTCAGAGGAACCACCAAATTTATCTTATTTAATACTTTGTGACAAGACAGTTTAAAGTACAGCGTTATGTGGCTCAATCTGATACCCTTTATCTTTCCTTTGACATAGGTAAAACAGAGATGCAAATAAGGAGTTTTAAACACAAATTTGCATACACCAGTATTAAAATGAACATCCAAGAATCACTGGAACGCTAGCAGCTCCTTGTTCTCCACTCGATTTAAGGATGTGGGGCTGTGTAGTGAGGCTGTCTGGGCTACAGTCGTAATACCACTCACCAGCTGTGAGCACATTTTTAACTTCTCTTTTCTTTCCTGCAAGATGGGTATAATAATAATACCTACCTATAGGGCTGTTTAGGAATGAAATGAGTTAATACATATGAAGTGCCTGGAACAGTTCCTGGCAGGTAGGAAGGCAATTAATAAACATTAGCTCTTACGACTTATTTCCACAAAAGAAATAGTTTTAGAGAACTGTTTTCACAGACTGAAGACTAACATTTCCCCTCTATTTCAAAAGCTGTAATACTATATAGTGTTATAATACCATAGTGCTTGATGTTCTGTGCAGAATATGAGGCTGAAAACTCAGCAACATTTTTCTATTTCCCCTTTTATTTTAGGAGCCAGTATTAAGGCCAGATAATGAAATTTAACCCTGGGGAAACTCTGAGAGGTACATAATCTCTGAGAACCCTCACAGCAGGGAATACTTTTGTTTTTCCACAAGGCTGGGCACTTTTGGGCCCCTCTCTAATCCCATATTGCCCAAATTCCATCTGCCTGAGAGTTCACAATCATCACAAATGTTAGGATTTGACAAAATCATGATTCAAGACTGAAAGGGACTCGAGTGATCAATCACTTTTGGTAACCCCCCCTAATTTTGGTCACAATAAAAAGTGTGACCTGGGAGGAGGCAGTGGTCATTAAACAGCTTGCCCATGACCACGAAGTCTGTGTGAGCCCAGCCCTAGAACCAGCCTCTTTCCTCCCACTTCTGGAACCTTGGTCTGGGGCTGTTTATCTTACAGTCCATTGCATGTTTCTCTCTATGGCACCTAGCATAGTGTTAGGTACACATTCAACATTCAGTAACTCTTCCTTAAATGAGTGAATAAGTGAAACTGGCCTTAATTAAACATTGGTTTCAAAGGCATTTTTGGGCTCCTTTTGTGATTTGGGGGAGGAAATGAATTATTTTCTCAACCACTTATCTTTCCTTCCAACTTAATTCCCAATATACATCTCAGTGTAAATCCAGGAGAAAAAAAATCCCACTTTCTCAGGTTTTCACTAAATGCATTTTAAAAATACCACCTTCCATTGTTAGAACTCATATCCTCTACTGGCTCATTTTTTTCTTCTAAATCTTATTTAAGATATTCATAGGACCATAGCAGTGAAATAAATTGTGAACTGTTCATTTAGTTCACTCCTCAACCTGAGCATTGGCAGGGCAGGCAGGACTCAGCCATGCAAAGGAATGGACACAATCACACTGAGGAAAGAGGAGGAGCTGGCTGGAGCTCTGCATCTGCAGCAGGGTTCCTCCTACTTGCCCTGTCCCCTTTTACCCTTTGCCCTCCAAATTCTACTGCATTCTTTGTGAAGCCTAGCCCAATCCCTCCCTCTCAGCCTAGAATTCTATTATCCCCTTAAAAATTGTTGTAGCATTTTATTTGTGGCTTTTATTACACATTATCAATCACTCTTAAATTGTTAATTGTATTTAGTTATCTAAGCCATGTATAAATTCAAGTTGTAAAATTTCAAATATTATAATAACGGTTATGGATGGGTGTGAATAGTATAACTAAACTCCTCCTGGACAATTCCTCTAATTCTTGTCTCTTTTAGTGCTCTTGTGTACGCCTTTCCTATCCATTTATGTGTACATTTTTACTTATAGAAATGCATAGCTTTGTTTTTACATAAATGGTACCATACAGCATGTATTATGCTGCAATTTGCTTTTTTCAGTAATGATATGTCTTGGTGACCTTTTTGTCTCAGTATAAATAGACTTACTTCATACTTCATTCTATTTAACTACTGCCTAATTTTCCAGAAGACAGACGTACCAGATTTTATTTAGCCGTTCCCTACGATGGTTATTAGGTGTTTGCAATTTAGAACTACCAAAACTCCACAATGGAACGGAATTAACATAATTTGCCTATGTGTGTGCCTGCTTCTCCAAGATACATACCAAGAAATGGAATTGCTGGGTCACAGAATGTACACATTATTCATTTCAACAGTGCCAAACTGCTCTCTGTATTGGCTACGTTAATTTACACACTGGTCAGTAAAATAAGAAAGTACCTATTTCCCACGAGCTTACCAATGTTAATCACTTCTTACCTTGTTTTACTTGCCCATATATTTTACTCCTATGCTTAGGGTTGCAAGCTGTCTGAGAGCAGGGCCTATGACTTGTTTATATTTGAGTTTCTTCCCCCATCCAGAGGTGTTTAATAATGGAGCTCAATGAATGCTTCTACCTATGACTTGTTTATATTTGAGTTTCTTCCCCCATCCAGAGGTGTTTAATAATGGAGCTCAATGAATGCTTCTTGATCTCTAACCATAAGTTCTTTGTTCGTTTCTGCACAAAAAAGTATTTCCCAAGATCACCTCTAACTTTGAGTTTAATTCTTAAGAATGAAAAACATTCTTAAGAAGGTGGTTTGAATTTTTGCACATCCTTTCCCCTGAACAAATTACAGCTATCTTGCATTTAAAGTTGCTTGAGACAGGATTCCCTCCTGCTTTGCTGGCAGGAGGTAGTGAACACAGACATAGTTGTCTCAGACAATAGCTAGCAGGGTGTTCCACCCACTAGAAGAAAGCCAACCAAAGGTGCCTCAACTTCCCTGGGAACTACATACAAGATGGAATGGGTCAAACTCTTTGGAACATTCTGGATCCAAGGGGTAAATTCTTTTACAGAGTTTTGAAATAGAGGAAACCATTAATAATGTCTAAAGCATGGCAATAAATGGATCCAGGTGAGGAGAAACTGTGACAGGATAGGAAGAGTGGAGTGGGGAACTGGGCATGTTTTTAAAGTAATTTTGGATACAGAAAAGAGGTTATAAAGGTGTGAATTATTCGAAAGAAGATAAATTTTTCTTCCAGGCAGAGCCTGTATTTGTTTATATGATAATCTTGGACTAAAGCAATTCTAAAAATCCAAGAGAATGGTTCCAGATCTTGTGGGCTGAACATTTACTTGAAGAGTTTTCTAAAGGGGTACAAGAGAACTTTCAGTTAAGTACTACAGAGTTGAGAATTACGCATAGCTTAATTTGTGTTTCAAAGAGGAACTGGCCCTAAATAAGAAACACCATAAACGAAGACGCATTTTGCTCTTAATGTTTCTTTTCCTCTCACCTAGTGAACCGTTTCAATAGCAACTGCGCAGCCCGGTGAGGGTACAATTCTATTTCTACACAAACACAAATGAAGAAAGTGAGGAAACCATTTGCCACGGTGGACTGATTGCCTCTAGGGGAATGGGCGCCTGAAGTGTGGGGGGCTTCGACCTGGGCCCTCTTTTGAATTCCCTGGGGCTGGACATAGGCTGGACAGATACCTCAGTTCATCAGCGCCGCTGGAATGCAGAAACTGCCTTTGCCATCTGGGTAGTGGGGTCGTGGTTCACACTGCACCCTTCAAACACACGGACCCGCGCTTTGGTTTCTCAGCACATTTCTTCTCACCCACGTCATCCTTTCGCCCACCCTGGGGCCATTGCCAATAACCCAATCGGTGACCTGGCCGAAGTCAGGCCCGCGGTGGCCCATTTCACGCCAGGAACATTCAGCGACGGAAGGGCACGGAGGAATCACATTTGGCCTTTTTGGCCATTGTCGTGAGAACAAAGAGGGCAGGAGCGGAGGGCGCCCCCGCGAGGAAAGGCGGGGAAAGGCACCACAGGCGATCTTCAGGAGGCGGGCGAGGCTGGAACCAGGGTGCTCCGGGAGAGCGGGCGGGGAGGCAGGGCCGGTCCCCGGCGCCGCGCCCCGCGCGCCATTCGCACCGCGCCTGGCTCTCGGCACAGCCCTTTCCTTCGTCTCAGCCACTTTACTTTTATTCTCTTTTTTTCCTTATTATTATTATTATTTTTTCCCGCGCAAAGCGGGCACCCGGGACTGCCCAAGCGAGCCGCGTAGGGGCCGCCATTTCTCGGGGGAAGCTCAGCGCGCGTCGGCACCGAGCGCCCCGGAAAGGGAACCGGAGGGGAGTGCCCGGCCCCGAGCCCTCCTCCGCGCCGGCCCGGGGCTCACGGCCGCCCGCGGCGCCCGGCCCGCCGCGCAGCAGCCCCCGGCCCTCGCCTCCGCCGCCCGCGTCCCCGGCCTGACCTTCGCCGGCGCGGCCCGCCCCCGGACCCCGGTCCCTTCCCTCCGCCCGGCGCCTCCGCACCCTTCCATTGTCAGCCCGAGCAGCCGGCGCCCAGCCCCGGCCCCGCGCAGCCCACCGCCCCCCGGGTCAAACCCCTCGGCGGCCGGGCGCCTTCCTCCTCCCTCCTCTGCGCCCCAAACTCCGCATCCCCAGGAGCCCGCCGCTCCCTCCTGGGCCAGCCTAGCCCGCGGGCGGGCGCCGGACTCGCGTCCCTTCTCCTCCCTCCCTCATCGCCAAGATGCCCTCGGCTCCTCGCCGGCCGCAGGAATTTTACCGCTTCTTTAGCACCCCCCTTTATTTCCCGAGGAAGCAAGTTGGGCAGCTGGATTTATGAAATTTTCTCCCTTTTTTTTGAGGGGAGGGTAGGTTAGTGGGGGTGCGCCCGCAGGGGTTGGGCGGCGGATAGAGGCAGGGGGTTCTCTCCGGCCCCTGCAGTGCCCCGGCGGCGCGTTTTGTTTCCAGACCCCGAAGCCCCCTGAACAATAATGCCATCGCCATGGCGGGCTCACCTGGTGCTGCGCCGCCTGCTCCGGGCGCCCGGTGCCCTCCGCGCGCCGCTCCCCGGGCACAGGTTCGGCCCGCGCGGCTCCGGTGCCGGGCAGGACTCTTTGCCTTTCTTTGGGTTCTATGTGTGCTTGTCAATGGCGGCAAGCGGCAGTTCTCCGGGCCGCGGATAGTAGCGGGGGGAGGAGGAGGAGGGAGAAGGGGTTGCTCCTTCTCCACATAACCACCTCTAGGAGGAGTCGCTCAGCCTCATCCCCCGCCAGCCCAGGCTCCGCGACGGGTCCGGGGGCTTTCGGTGGGGCTTGATGAGCTATTGTCCTTCAGGACCATTAATGATGAGACCGCGCGGCCTCCGCGTCGCTGGCGGATCTGCAGGATGCACCGAGGGCCACTGGCTACGATGAGGCTTCCCAGAGCTGGGTACAGAGGCACTACGGTCACGATCCACAGTCTCCTGTTAGCAGGATCCACCTTTGGTGGAAGAGGACGGCGTGGGCGTTCATCGGCCAGTTCTCGGGCAAGGCTTGGAAGGTGAACCCGAAGAATGCCACCTTCGATGGTCTCGTGTTCTTAAGTGATACATTAATGGCTGTGTCCACCACTGGCACGATAACACAGGGTGGCTACAGCCACAAGAACTAAGAATGTATATATCCATGACTCTTGGCTTTTTATAAATTAAGGCCGATTTAGAATCCAAAATTGCATTATGTTTGGAGTAGCAGATGTACGTTTTGGTGGGTAAGACTGTGTTGACGTAATATTTTAATTTGATTGCCTTACAGTGTGTTAATTTGTAATATTGCAGCAGATATTAAGATTGGCACGAGGCCATTGTCTTGACCACATTTTATTAGTTTCTAGAAAATACAATTTTTTAGGGATGTGGTGGACATTATCACGTGTGATAATGGGATTCATAAATTGGCCTGTTCTACTGGAAGTCGGTGCAGTCCTTTGTAACCCAAGATGTTGGCCAGGGCTCCATGGCTATAGGGCGGGCTTGAGTCAAAGGAATTTGTTTATTTCAGTGGGAAACGCCAACTTGATATGAGCCATCCATGCTTCCTTTTATTTCTCCCTGATGAGTCAAAGGACTGTGAGGCAAAATTTTGATCTCTTCAAAAAAAGAGAAACTCGTAGGAAAACACAGTCCTTCTGCATTCCTCAAATGGATACTTTTCAAAGCCTTTCCCATTTGATAACCTTCTTTATATAACCCCTAAAAACTTGAAAATATTTAGTCAATGGGAACTTTGGGGTGACTGAGAGCCCAGTTGCCAGAGTGGGAAGAACCCAAATGCCCACTGCCTTCTGAATTTTGTACTGGTTAGCCAGGGCTGTTGGTGAAGTTAGTAGATTGTACTTCAGACCATGCGCATTTTAAACAAGTATTTTGCCGAGAAATTAGTTGACTTTCCAAAAGATCATGCATGTACCATAAAGGTATAGATAAACCTCTTTAAATTTCATAGGGCTTCTCAAACTCTCCGGGACCCAATAGTCTCAGTTATTGGGACTTCCTTCACTTTTCCTAATCCTTTTACTTTCTCTTTGTGTGACCTCCCTGTTCTCGGTCTTTGAAGGTACTTTCCAGGTCAGAAATCTAGTTGGGATCAAGTCCTCTTTTACCAAGACATATATTTAAAAGGTTTCAAATGATCCCCCGGGGCATCTCATAATGGTTTCGATTTCCCTTTCTTAAAGGAAGCACCTCTCTATCTTCTCATATAGATTTCTGGTGTCCATTCTTGATCAGAAATAACCTCCAGGCCAATATTCAAGAAAGTTCAGGAGCCTTCTGGGAGTGCTTGAAAAATACTCCTAACCTGTGACCCAATCAGCCAGGCTCACTGAGATATAGTTGAATAATTCATCAATATATATTAGATTCACATTCTCCCTGTAACTTCCCCATAAAAATGTTATGTGTGGTCATTCTTATGTGCATTTTATGTAAGTGGTTTCATCCTAGCTTTTTGTTATGGGTATCCTAAGAAAGCCAGGGGCTAAGAAATTGACTAGTCAGCCTTCTCCTATTTCCTACTGGGTGGTTTCTTCAAATAGACGGGGCAGGTGCAACTCAGAGAATCAAGAGGAATGTCAGCTTCATAATACTCTTGTTCTTAGAAGAAAATGGCTCATAGAGTTCAACTGATCAAGCTTTTTGTTATAGGAAGAAATTTGGTATTCTGGTGGGTGAAGTGACTCAGCTAAGGCCACGAGGGTCTTTAGAGGCCGAGACTCCAGTGTATTTCCAAATACCCAGCTAATGTGGTCTCCAACAACACCAAGCTTCTCAGAATGTACAGGGGACAAATAGGCAACCTCTGAAGCAGATACAGCTAAATTACATATATTTAATAGGACATTTAACACATGAACAAAACCCAGAGAATATCATGTAGCTAAAATATATTTAGATTAGTCAACATGATTATAAATTCATCAGTAATCTTGAGTTCTGCAGTCGCCTCCAGCTCAGGAAACCTCTAATAAGGTGAATAGTAAATAGTGATAATAAGTATTTGCACTTATTAAATGCTTACTATGCGCACTACTCTTTACCTTTACTCATTTAATTCTCACAAACTCTGTGGGGTGGGCACTATTTTCTCCTTTTTACTGGTGGAGAAAATGAGGCAGAGAGTGAATGAGAAACTTGCCCACAGTTAGAGTTCAGAAGCAGCAGGCTCATGCTCTTAATCCCTGCCGTAATCTGGTAGTATGGATGTATGAATTTGCTTTAGCAAAAGAATTTTGCAATTGGTCACATAATCAAAAGTCTCTGACCATTTCCAATACATATCCTTAAGGAGTCAGTGAAAAGCCTTATTACAGATGGTTTAGTTGATTACCATTGCACTGAAAATATTTTCTTAACCTTTGACCTGTATGTGTGCATAGTATTATGAATTAATGTATTGATTGTGAGTTGACTCCATTAACAAGTATGTCTAGAAAATGTTTTATTGAGATGCAGGATGAATTGCTTCTCCAACTAGAGACATGCATGTAATGTAGCATGATTTAGAGATGGAAAAAAAAAGTCCATGCAACTGGATTTGTATTCTTTTAAGTCTACAAAATCACCCACAAAAATCATCCACTGTAAAAATAGCTTCATCAGTTTTGCCCCCAAACTCTTTTTATTTTCTCAGCCTAATTTATGATGTGTGAATTGAGTGGGTTATTTTCCATGATTAATTCTAATCTGGTTTATGACACATGATAATCTGTGATCATTTTACCCTTTTGAGATCATGGTATGCAATTACCCTTTTCATTTCCTGACCCTCACCGCTTCCAGGAGAACCACATCGTGTAGGTGTATATTTATATCACACATGTAAGCATGAGTATAAGGTATATCCAGATTAATTTCATATGAGAATTTCTAATATCCTTTGAAGTAACCTGAGATTCCTTGGGAGTGTCATTAAAATAGATGGAAATCATTGATTTAAGCTCTTCTTGGAATGTAAGTTAGGCAGTTCTAGATGCTGTATTAGTTCTATCAAGGCACCAACTGGCATAACTCAAAAGAGCAACTCTGGGGCCTGAGGTAATGAATGCAAAGTACCAGGCTATACACTAACCCATATTCTAAAAAATAAATACAGCTTCTAAATGTACGTTATAACCTGGAAAATGCTAGGCAATCTGACTTAAAATTTTGTATTAGCTACAAATATGCAGTCTTTCCTGTTGTTATGTTTTGAATAGTGAACATGATTAGTGTTAAGCACTTATTTCCTTGATCAGAACTGGTGACTTTAGGGTCTTAATCATTTATGGAAGGGAATAATATCCTTAAAGAAAGGACACATAGGCGATCATTATGTCAGTAAAGCCATTCTTTTAACATGTCTGGATGAAATGAGCATCTTCATCTCCTAACAAAAGAAACATTTTAATACCCCTGGTTCTTAAAAACAACAACAAAATATGTTCTTTTTGGTATTTAAGTCCTGACCCTTTGGTTCTGGGAAAGGAGATTTACATGAATGGGTATGTTGTGTGCATAGATGATTATGTATGTACATCTATATATGAATAATCAAGTATTTGATGCATATGGTACATGTGTATATGTTATAAGATGGGTAGTGACTGCGAATGCAGTAGGTTCAGAATTAACGCTGGTTTGGATTTTAAAGGAATCTACCAACAGTTTAACATTTAACTGATGAACTATATTGTAAGGGAAAATGAAATGTTTCAGGTTTTTTAAAGGAACACATTGTCAGCCCCAATAATGCAAAGTTGTGGTTGGGAAAATAAGGCATGTGGTGTCATTAAATTTAGTGGAAAGAGAACCCAAAGCTAAGGGTAGTGTGCCAGTTGGTATTTCGCTCTCCCAGAGAGCTCCAGCTCTCTGGGAGATCATCCCGTTACCTCCAGGCAGAGCTCTTTGTGGCAATTGTGATGGGAAGTGGCAGCATGCATCTGGAGAGTTTGGACCTTAGCATCTGTGTTGAGAGCTCTGTGCAATGTGGCCTCACACCCAAACAAAATTGCTCTTTACAATTTAGACCCGTTCTAGAGAATGGGGACATAGATTTTCCCAAATTCACAATAGCAGAATGCCATAGTAAAACTATAATTTATTTATACAAATGGTGTGTTTTTACAAAGGCCATCTGTCAGTTGACTCTCTGATCTAAAACAAATCTGTTTGTTCCCCAGAAGAAATAACATGTCTGTTGAAAAAGGATTTATGGAGGACAGGCTGCCCAATCCACCAGCCATTGGTATAATAGTAACTATTTATGATATATTTACTTCTACCAGAGTGCTGTGAGTGGAAACTATTACTTGTAAAGTATGGTAATTAATTTTTCATTACCTCCAAGCCAAGAAATGGAGCCCAGTTGCATTTATTAAGATTGCTGCATGAGAAACATATTTCTTTTGGGAAAAAATAAATATCCAAATAAAAGCATTCAGAGAGCTTTGGTACATAGTAGCTTGCTGCTCTGATGGGTAGGAATAGAACCATGGGCTTGCACTGAAGCCCCAGATTCATTTTTAGAGGACAAATCACTACTGATGACCTGGTTACTTGATCATTAGGTGCCATTGATGGCCCTTATTGAAAGTTAGATCTTATTGTTAATACTAAAATAAGAAAACGACTCTAGGCTGGGAGAAACAAATGAAAGAGAAGGGAAGAGCCCTGTCCCTATCTGTCCTATAAACAAAGGTGACAATCGAGTATTAGTTATTTTAAAAGACTTATTTCAGAATGGAATCTAATAGTTCTTAATACCTACTCTATTCAAGAAACTAGGCTAGGTCACATTAGAAGTACAAAAAGGCTTGTCTTCTCACAGGAAGCTTGCAATCTATCTGATAACTCAGGGCATGGAGATGGGTGCTGAAATCACCTTGAAACTATCAATGAAAAATAGTTTACAAGAGTCAGAAGTTATCACTGAACACTTTTCTTAAGTTAATACTGATTCTCAGGTTTTGGTTTTCCATTCTTAAAGTGAACTAAACCAGGTTTCCCCCCCCCAAAATATTGTATTTAATTTTTATTTATTTTTGTTCTTCAAACATTAAAGAAAAATTACTAATACTTGAATATGAAACACAAATCAAAAGGCATAAAGGTTGACAGTTCGGGGGATCCTTTCGCCCGTGTGCCTGGGCAGCCAGGTGGCCTCTCCAAGGCCAAGTTTCTTCTGTGTCCTTCTGAGCACATACTTTTCTCCTATGTTTCTCTTTGTGGACAGAGGGCTTATTTGTCTTCTCTGGGACTCTGAAGGAGTCTTAACATTCAAATCCCTCAGGGGATAGGTTGTAAGAGAGTATATTTATTCCTCTCGGCCAAGGTCCCAGGCAGAAGAGTGGACGCAGAGGCTCAGAGCCAGCATTGGTGACGGTATTGACACAGGATCTAATGCTGCTGCAAAGTGAAAGGGCTCCATCTCCATATCTAGGAAAGCCCTCACATAAGTCAAAGCCCAGGGACACAGCTGAAATACTTTCTGACTTTCCGGCTGACAGCCCAGAGTCACAGCTCTGAAGAGAAGAGGATCCTCTCTTTACATCTGGGTAGATCCTTGGAGATGCCCAGATGCCATTGGGCTTTATTTTCACAAACACCTGCCAGTAGTGGGGCTATAGATGAAGTTGGCATTGCCCTGGACCCCGATTATGTAGAAAAATATCTTAAGACAGTTGGACTGAATGTGTTTGGCCCCAAGTCCATTCTGCAAAGGACAAAAGAAGTGATGAGGTGGTAGTAGGTTGGAATCACATCCAAGGGCATGTCTGCTTGGGATCTCTGTAGCTGGGGTCCAGGGGCATGGTTGCCTTTAGCTGGGGCTGCTGCTCTCTGGTTTGGGCTGCCAAGCTTCCCATCAAGAGGCCTTTGGGGGATCCGAGGTTAGTGGACCAGGGCACAGAACCTGCTGTGTGGGCAGGAGGCTGATACAGCCAAGGCACTGTAGGAATATGGGCTTCAGGAATAGTGGCAGTGGCGGAAGCTCTCAGCTTCCTACTGCCATTCAGCTATGGCCTCCTCAGGACTGGTTCTCAGCAACCCTCTCTCTTGCCCTTCTACCCAACTCTTTTTAATTTTTTTTCTAGGGATTCAGACCCAGATTAGTTGTGAGCTCCCCATGTCACACCCCTTGTTGGAGATTCAGTTGTCCCATCCATAGTCTCAGAGGGGACTAACTGCTCTCCGGGGCCCCTTGCAAGTCTGCAATCAGAGGAGGCTGGGGCTGCAGAAAGGGCCTGGTAGGAGGGCCTCCTGTCTACCCAACTCTTTATAGAGTAACTCCTTTGTCCACTCCCAGGCCTCAACATACCACTCTCTGCCTCACCTAATTATTCCTTCCATTTCATTTGGGTTGGGGAAGAGCATTCAAGCCTAGAGGGGAGAGAGTTCATGTCAGAGGGGCCTCAAGCACTTAGACATCTTTGCTATTCCTAGCAGTTTTCATCTCCCTCCCTCCTCCCTCCCTTCCCTCTCCTTTGAATTTCTTACCTTGGTTTCTTGGGCATTTATAGGTCCACTGAGAACAGTTAGGGCACTTGGAAACTACAGGGTACTGGAACATTTTGTGTGTATGTGCATTTCTGTTGAGATAATCTATCTGATGTTGGCAGGTTCTCGAAAGGATTCCTACCACAAAAGATAGCTAACGCCAACTCGTTCTGCCCGTCTTGCCCCAAGCTCTCATCCTAACCAGTTGAGCTCTTGTTCATCTGTCACGTGCGCTGAGAAAACCTCATTTGTTGCTTTGATTAGTAAAGATTGAAAAACTTTTTCTGTAATGGGCCAGATAGTAAATATTTTAGGCTTGTGGGCCAAAGGGCGAAATGGAGTACAGTATGTAGGTACTTATGTAATAAGAAAGAAAACAAATTTCCACTACTTTTTAAATAGAATTCTGAATATGATAATATTAGAATACAATTTTTTTCTGTCAGTACAGGTCTACTAATCAGAAGATGGAATTCTATTTTAGTGGTGATAACATTTCTCTTACTGGGGATTAAATTTAGTGTCCACTATCATCAAAACTGATAGCAAATGTTCATCTATTAATACTGATCTGTAATGAGACTTAATATATTGTTTAAAAAATAAAGTTTGGATTTTATACAATTTTTTTATATGTCACAAAGTATTATTCTTCATTTGATATTTGTTGAAATACTAAAAAATTAAAAAAAAACATTCTTGTCTTATGGGCTGTATAACAACAGAGAGTAGACCCGTTTTTCCTAGGCCACGTTTGCCAATCCCTGTTTTAGAGGATTCGCTCCGGCTTAGGGTACACTGATTTTTTTCTACCACCTCCTCCTTGCTTTAAATGCTCATGATTAAAATAACAAATAATTCTAAAAGTTTTAGTAAAGTATAGCCTTCTCCTATTCTTTCTCTCCCTGTCTCACTGCTGCTCCCTAGAGGCAACCACTTTAAATTCTTAGTTATGTCTTCTGATTTTTGTCTACATAGATAAAGAAAGAAAGAGAGAAAAAAGGAAGGGAGAAAGGAAGAAAGAAAAAGAAAAGAAAAAAGGAATAGTATGTTGTTTCTTGATTTATTAATTTTAGACATTACCTATTAATTTCTTGCTGTGGAATGAAATTTTAGTTCTCTTACACTCTTTCTTTCCTCCCTGCTTCCTCTCCTCTCATTCTTTCAATATAGTTATCACAATTTTTGGTTAAACTAATATTCAGTATTTATATCATTGTGATCATACAGTTATTGCTTACTGCTAAACCATGTAGTGTACTATAACTACATTTCCTGTTTTGCCCAACATTTGTTTTTCCTGAAGGTAGTAATTGCCCCTTTTTTTTTTTCTGTTTGTCTTTGTGCTTTTTGGCAGATCCTACAGAACTTCAGAACCGCTGTGGGGAAAATGGAAGTTCCTGTGCCCAGAATCCTCACCTGACCCTAAACTACTTGATGATATAATTGGCCGGCTGCTAGGCTAATGCTCCCGCACCCATAGGCAATAAGCTATCATTGACTGAATCAATATATAAAGGGCTTTTCTCAGTGCTCTGCACAGATGCAGAGATGGAGGTGAATTACAGACCTGCAGACTGCTGGATACAGATGTGATTCTAGTGCTTGACCTACCACCATGAGAATAAAGCTGGGTATAAGCCCTTTTACCCCAAGGATGTTCCATTTAGCATTTCTCAGTTTCACTGAATCCATTGTGAACTTGCCTGGGGCAAAACCCTCAGGCAAGACAACCACCCAGGCCATGTACTGTTGGAGATAATTGTAACTACTATTGTTACAATATTGTTAGTGTTGTAACAATAGTGTTGCAATATACCTGCACCTGGGTAATAAGGAGTCATTTTCAATATAACTCTGGACAAGATGGAGCTAGTGGTGTAATATGATGAAACTGTACCTGCACCTGGGATGTTAGATCCTGTGGCTTTTGCACGGTGGTTTTGCAATCAGGTATAGTAATGATGTTGGAGTTTCAGTGTGACCAAGCTGGAGGCAGGAGAGACATGGTGAGTGCCCAGTTTAAGCTTCTTACAACTTGGAGGATGTTACTTCAGAGCAGAATGTCTTCATCACCTTGAGAACACCTGTGAGGACATGGAGACTTAAGGGGCCCCCCCACTCACAAGCAGCTTGACATCCTCTTCCCTCCATTGCTGGTAATGTATCCTTCCAGCTTGTTGTAGTGAAGTGGTGCTTGTGTAAGACTTCTGACCGAACATAATTTATCCCTCAGACTCACCACAGATCTCTGGGACTTTTCTCCAAGCAGGTAACCTAGCAGCGTTTTGTTGCTTCCCCTCCCTTCCTCCAAGTCCTCCTCCTCCTTCTTCTTTCTTAGACGTTCCTCTAGGATCTCTCTTTCCTTACCCTAGGCTATGCTGGTTGCTTTTCAGGATTGCTGTCTATTTTAGGGACTTACCTTTTCCATCCTCTTGACAATTTCCTTTACTTCTTTTTTGTGTTGGATCCCCTGTCTCCCTCTTTCTTGTCTGAATTCCTTGTTTTGGGGAGGGGGGACATTTTCCAGGAACTTCCTGAGAAAGGTGAATGGGAGGTCAAGTGTTTGAATGTCTGAAAGTGTCTTTATTCTACCATCACATATGATATCTTTCATCTGTGGTCATTTCTCTCTTTTTGTCCTTGAGGGTGTATATTTTTAAATTCCTTTACTATTATTTTAGTGGCGTTTTGGTAGGGTGTGGAAATAAACATACATAACACAGTTAATTTTCATCTGCTATTCAATGCCTTTTATCTTTACTAATGGAACCCCCCAAACTTAGCGAGACAGCCAAAATAAGACTATATTTCCTAGCTTCCCTTGCAGCTAGATATGGCTGTGTCATTAAGTTCTGACCAGTTTCTCACATCTTATATGATGTGTAACTTCCAAGTTTAGCTCTTAAAGTCAAGAAGCAGATCTTTTTCTCTACCCTGTTGTCCAAAGGATGTCCATGGTGCTGAACCTTGCAGAAGAGGGGGATGCTCTGGGGAGGCTAAGCAATGAGGGAGAAGGAATATGGGTACCCAACATGGTGGGGCTATCAATCCTGGCCTTCTAATGCTCCCAGTTAAATGGGAGAGAATTATACTTCTACCCTGTTTAAGTCACTATTAATAGAAACTGCATCCTGACTAATCCATTGTATGTGTTATTAGTCTGCCATGTTTAACTAGAGGGGATCCTTCATTACATGCAGAGTAAATTCTTTTCTTTTTCTCATAAGGGACATAAAAGGCTCAGAAATGGTAAGCAGTGGAGGAAGAAACACATCCCTATATTTTGCTTAATGATATATGGGGTTAATTAGATTTATTATTCATGTTATAGCTGATATACTATAATATGATTAATATTGTTAAATAAATTGTAAACAAATAAAAAATGAAACACATCCCTCAGTTGGATGAATAGATGAACTATTGACACACTACCACACTTTCAACTAATTTTTTTTTATTCACATGGTTCGTGGAAGGAAGATTGAGTTTAGAGATTAGAGATTTGGTTCTAGTTTTAGCTTCTCCACTGTGTGACCATGGGAAATTGATAGAATGTCTTTGAGTCTTAGTTTCCTCATCCATAAAATGATTAGAGTAGTTAAGAATGGGAGGTGGGGGTTGTTACCAAATTCTGCTTTTGTAATTACATCTTTAAATATTTTCTCTAAAATGAATCTAAAGTGAATGTTTTGTTGAACATTTCCCATGTGCCTGGGACTAGAAAGCACTTTAATAATGGTGATAATATTAATAATAATAAATTCATTGCATGCTTGATATGTGCCATAAGACTACACTAACTGCTTTATCATTATTAGCTCATGTACTCCTTATAATAACTGCCTGTGATAGTTCCATTATCAGCCCACTTTACTGATGAGGAAATTGAGACAGAGGTTATGCAGCTTGACTAAGGCAAGGATTCACAGCCACAGCTAGGCAACTCTAAAGTCTTTTCTTTTTCCTTTATTCTTCTCCACCTTTTCATAAAATGTTTCATAAAATTAAAACAGGCAGATAAGATTACAGAACCACAACTGGACCTTAAGCAAAATTTGCCTCTAACTTGAAACTTACTCTTTGGAACCCGTGGCCAGGATGGAATTTAGGAACATGAAAGGGAATATGGGGGCTTCATTCAGTCAAAACTCCCACCCAGTGTGGGAATTCCCTCTGTGACAGCCTGGACAGATGGTCATGAGTCCTCTGTTTTAACACCTCATGGCTGAACTTTCACTGCTTTATTAGGCTGCTTTGCCACTGTTAGAGAATCCCAACAATGCCAGTTTTCAGACTCAAGCCCCTGGGTTTGCTTGCCTTTGAAGTATGTATGTGGGCTGCCTTAGCAATGCTGAAGCCATCAAGGGGTGGCAAAACCCTCTCTGGCTCTCACCTCTCTCCCTCCCTTTTTCCTCCAACCCCTTTGATAAAGAATTTCATGAAGAAGATGGCATCGGAGCTGAGTGTAGAGGGCTGTGTGGAATTTCAGCAGGTGGAGATGAAAAGAAGCAGCGGATAAGAGGTAGAGGCTGGAGAAGGGCCAGGTGGAGGTGTGGCCAGTGTCCCAGCCTTTGGGTCATTGGGTGTACAGAGCACAGCTTGTAGGAAGGTGTCTGTGGAATGACAGGTTGAGGCCCTAATATAGGGACCTAATACACAAAGGTGAGGGTTGGTACTTGGTATGATAAGCAGTGAGATCCAGGAGTGTCTTACAGATGCGGAGTGCCAAGTCTGAGAGCCAGCTTTTGGGAGATTCCCCTGACAAGGGTGCTTGGTGGTGAGACTCTGGAGCACAGAGACCAGCCCTCCCCACCTGCTGGAGCAGGTGCCACCTGGATCCTTTCATCAGTTGCATCCCTTTTCTTTTTACACAGCACTTTTATTTCCACTGCTGTGTAATAGGACAGCTTATTACATTTTTTAAAACTGAGAATGTAGGTTGAAACTAACATTTCATGAGAGAAGATGAAGTGTCAACAGCCTTTTGCAACAGATCATTGAAATGTGCCTGGAGCAACTTCTTCCTTTCCTCTTCCAGCTTTCTCAGAGAATCTCTCTGGCAAGAGTACGTTTGCTTCACAGCCTCAAGAGAGAATTTGTCTTTTAACCTTGTCTTGTGAGCCCAAAGTGACACAGCCAGTTAGTGGGACAGTGGGCATCAGAACTAGGCCTTTCTGATAGAGAGTCCATCTAACCGCCTCAGTTAATCTCACTAACCATCATTGTGTGTACATGTCTATGTGCATATGTGTGTATACATATATCAAAGGCTAGAATAGACTTAAAAATAATTCAACATAAGAATTTTTGCCATTGGTTTTATGTGGAGAAATGAAAATGTCTACTTACACATTTATTTCCATAAAAAGATAGTTTTCAAAGAGGCATCTTCAGTACATCTACCCAGAATCTTAGGGTGTATTCACAGATTTATGACTGATGGATGGTGCAGTCACGCATCTTCCGGATGAACTTATCTGTACCAGGTGGCAGCAGCCTGTCCTTTGAGTCCAGTTTTATGAGGAGGCCCTGTTGTCTTTCCAGTACACGATGCTGCCTCTCTCTGACTGTTCCTTCCATCCAGCTCATTAGGTAAGTGTATTCTCCACTTCATTCTGTGCTGATGATCATGAAACTGAGTGCTCCCAAATAATATGACAAGTGAGCTAGAAGAACCTTACTTAGAGCTGGAGAGGATGTTCACAATTAAGATTTTTACAAACTTTCTAAAGACGTTCCTGCAGAGTGGCTATGACAGCTGCTGGTCATGGAGATGAGAAACCATTGGCTCAGAACCAGTCAGTTCTGAACAGCAGGGCTTAGTGCTCTATGCCAAAGTGTTTATTTCTTTCCATGGTGGCTGCTGAAATTCAGGCTCTAGGAATCCTGCTTTCAACGTGTCACTGGGGACCCCGGTCTATTATGGGCTATTGCTGGTGGTCCTCTGTCTAGGAAATGATTCCAATTCTGCATTACCTATTTTATGAATTGGCGTAAAGGACTGCATGTACTACTACAGAGTGTAGCATGGATGTATATGTTTGCTTGGTAACCAATATTTCATTTGTAAAGAAAATTATGTTGAGGACTTTAATAGTACATAACCCAAAGAAGCAAATGTTCACCCATCAGATGCTGTCATTTCTTGAGAATAAACTCTGTAGACTAACCCCCGCATGTATGTGTTTCTATTTTCCAAGCAGAATGAGTGTTCAGATTACCTTTAGCTCATGCTTATATATCTTTAAAATGGTTATGTGTATTAATGATTCAGATGAATTAATAGCCCCCAGTGCCTCTATGGGAACTATTTAAAATTTTCTTATATTGTTCCAAGGTTAGATAAAATCTCAAGTTTTGAATTCCATTATCATGAAATGACACCTATGTTATACATAGTAAGAGCACATGACAGCCTATGTGCCATACCACCTTCCTTTTAACATGTTAATGTTTTAAAAAATATGTATTTTTAAAAATAAAATGATAATAAGTAATCATTTCAGTTATCAATAATCAAACTAGGCATTCCTTCTTTTTTTTTTTTTAAGTGCACCGTAGTCCCTTTGCTAATATTTTGAAGGTGTGAGATCTATACTAAGACAATGCTATTAGGCTGATATTTTGTGTGGCTCATCTTACTTGACCAGCCCTAGTCATTCAGAAACAACAGATGGTCATGGTATAGTTTTCACTTCCCTGCTTGCTCTGAGAGCAATTAAGTTTGTCGTAAGTTGTCTTTGTCAGGTCCTCAGATTTCTAGTCAAACCTGGTGTTTTCCTTGCTCTGATTTTTCCTCCCTTGGGATAGTCTTTGATGGAGTCAAAGGTCTGTGGCAGTCTTTAGGCTTATCCTTCTTTTGGACACAGCTGATTCAGGCATAAGGTTCTGTCGGATGAAATTTAGAGGCACTGTGTATTTCTGTTTGGGACACTGAAAACAGAGGGATCTTTCTACAAAATTTGTAAATGTCATTGCTCAGTCCCCTTGTTTACAAAACAACCACAGATCTTTTGGACAATGCCAAAGCCTCTTAGAAGAACCCCCAGGGTAGCTGAGTGTCAGCATTGGCTTTGGGATCACTGTTCTTCATCCTTCAGCTCTCAGTCAAATATTATTAGTAATTAGAACAACAGATTTATGAGAATGTGATTTTTAGCTACCTTTAATTCAGTTCTGTATGTAGAAGTTTTGAAGGCCTACCCTTCACTAGATTCTGGTTATTAGCCCATACCACAGTGCCATATGGGTGGGAATGAGCAGGGCTAATAGAATCTAAGCGAAAAAGCAAAGACAGTGAAATAAGTCCAAAGGTGTGATGTGTGTTCTCAAGGGCCATATATACAATTTGTGGATCAAGTATTCCCATTCTAAGTGTGTATCGTTTTTTTTATGATTATAAAAGTAAATAATATTCATTGTAGGCATTTTGGAAAAAATAAAAAGTAGTCGTCATTCTTAATCTCAAAACCCATAAAATAACCATTGTTGACACAATTTCATATCCTTCCTGTCTTTTCTTTCACTTTTTAAAAATTGAAGTATAATTGACATGCAATATTCTATTGGTCTCAAGTGTACAACAAAGTGATCCAACAGTTAGCTACATTATTAAATGCTCACCCTAACTTCCTGTCTTTTGTCTAAGCATGTCTATAGGGTTCACAAAACATTCACTTTTTGAAAACTTTGAGTTATACAATAAAACCTATATATGGAAAATGACACAAATATGTGGTTTAATATCAGTTATCACAAGGTGAACATTCCTGAACCAATATCCAAATAAAGAATAGGACTTTGTGAGTATCACCAGAAGTTCCTCAGTTGGCATCATCACCATCTCAACCCCCTTGCTACCCACAAAAGCAACCACTATTCTAGCTTTTATCATGTAAACTTTTTATCATTTATAACTTCTACATATGTTACAAGCACCATAATGTGTTGTTATTATTTTTGCATTAAACTGTTAGTGATCTTTTAAAGAGATTGAAAAAAATAACAAAGCCCTTTTTATATTTACCCAAACATTTACCATATCTGGTGCTCTTCATTCCTTTGTATCAATTCAGATTCCCATCTGTTATAATTTTCCTTCTGCCTATAGGACTTCCTTTAACATTTCCTGAAGAGGAGGTCTGCAATTAATAAATTCTTCTAGCTTTTTTAACACTTGAAAAAATCCTTACTTCACTTTTATTTTTGAAAGATGTTTTTTATGGGTTTAAAATATAGGTTTTTATTGTTCAGCATTTTTAAAATGTTGCTCCTCTTGTTCTCTGGCTTGCACTGTTTCCACTCAGAAGTAGTTGTATTCTTATCTTTGTTCTTGTAGTTGCTTATGAGATTTTAACTTTATCACTGGTTTTAAACAATTTGATTATGATATGCCTTGGTAGTGTTTCCTTTTTGTTGCTTGTATTTGGGTTCATTGAACTTGGATCTATGGGTTTAATAATTTTGATAAAGTCTGGAAAAATTTCAGCCATTATTTCCTCAATTAGTTTTTTGGCCCCATCCCTAACCTCCCTCTTTTTTTTTCTTTGAACTCTCCAATTGCATATTTTTAAGTTGCTGGAAGTTATCCCACTGCTCACTGATGCCCTGGTATTTATTTTCAGTCTTTTTTCTCTTTGTGTTTTATATTAAGAAATTTCTTTTGCCTTCAAGTTTATTAATCTTTTCTTCTGCAATGTCTAATATGCTGTTCTTCCTGTCCAGTGTGTGAAAATCTCAGATGTTGCAGTTTTCATCTCTAGAAGTTCATTTGAGTCTTTTAAAAAATACATCTTTCATATCTTTACCTTACATGCTCAATCTTTCCTGTATTTTATGGAATACATGAACTGTAATTAAAATTGTTATGTGTACTTTGTCTCCTAATTCTATTTGTATCATTGCTGCATCTCTTTATTATGGGTCATATTTTCCTGTTCCTTTTTAGGCCTGGGAATTTTTTAATTGGTTCCAGATGTGAATTTTAACCTGTGGGGTGCTAGATACCTTTCACTACTGCAAATATTCTTGATCATTTCTGGGATTCAGTAAAGTTACTTGGAAACAGTTTGATCACTTAGAGGCTTGCTTTCAAGTTTTGTCAGGTGAGATCACCTGACATTTTTCTAGGGCTGATTTTGCCTCACTGCTTAATGCCTCATGAAATACAAGGTTTTTCCACATTGATTAATGAGACCATGGACTTTTCTTGGTTCTATGTGAGCTCCAACAGTGGTTTACCTTGCTCCTTTTGAGTGATTCTTTTCCCAGACTTGGGTGGTTTCCTACATCCATGTGCTGATCAGTACACAGCATTGCCTTCTGCAGATCCATCGAGCTATCTCTGTGCACCCCTCTCCTCCCCTATTCTTTGCCCTGTGTACTCTAGCCATATGGGCTCCTTGAACTCCTAGCTTTGTCTCATCAACAAGGAAGATGGTTGGCTTCTTCCTCTCTGTGTTTTAGTATTTTAGATATTTTCTCTAGGCAGTAAACCCATTCAATTTTACTCGCTTGATTTGTTTCCCCTCTCTCTGGGTTCACTGTTCTGTGCAGCCAGATGGCCACTGTTGAAAATCGGGTTTTTGTTTTGTTTTGTTTTGTTCATATATTTTGTCTTGTATTTTAGTTAGTTCAGCCAGGAGGGTAAATCCTTCCCTGGCAGAAGCAGAAGCCCCACTCCTGACTTTTATAGTGATTGCTTCCTTATGCTATTGTGTAGTTTCATCACCCAAGGGAGCATCTCTAGAAACCATAGTTTAATCTTGCTCATTAAAATGTTATTATATATCTTTTAAGTCTCTTTTAATATACAGAATCCTACTCCATGACTTTGTTTTCCTTTCATTTTG